AACCATCGAATGTCACATTGGCACAAATGCTCAATAGCGAGAAAGTGTTGGAGGAGTTGTTGTTGTTGTTGTTTGAGGAGCCAGAAGCGTTGTTTGAGGTAGACATCTGAAAAAGAAGAAAGACAAGTTTTTGATTAGATAAGGAAATCCTTTATATAACACACAAATGAAATATTAAGGCTAGGACCCAACACAATAATTCACAATTCATAAAAGGGATGCCGTAATCCAATTGCAAATTATTTGAAGGTAGTTAAATGACGATTTACCGATTCTAGTATTCCACCATGAAAACGAAATTTAAAATGAATTAGGTTTTAAATGAAATTCCTAGATCTTTTGAGATTCATTGAGCTATTCAATGGCATGTTCGATCTTGATTATGCCCTTTCCATTTGTGACTGGGATACCGAGGATCAAAAACAAGGTGTGAATAACCATGCAAATTAGCTTGGTACTCTCGATGTCACTTACCACCTAATCACATACACTCCATTGATCAATGATAATTTACGAGCTACCCATTGCTGCCTTTTGTTAGTCGAAGTTAGTGTGCCGGTTAACCACACATGCTCCACTAATGACCTTTACAAAGTGCAATGTGCAATTTCATGGATTAACATCAAATTCATATTTTCTTAAAGTAACTAAGATTGAGAATTTTTTTTAAAACATTTAGTTACTTTATATATCATTATACTTATTAATGAGAGTTTAATATCCTATCCTACCTGTTCGGCTAACGACCTACACCAGTCAAGGAAGCGGTGGGTGAGAGTGGACACCCATTCAACCACCATTTCATAGATAGTTTCATTATACCCCCTATAGATCGACTTCGTGAATGAGGCCTACTAACGGTAAGACTGACCTTTTCTTATACATATATATAATTAAACTTTTAATTTTATAATAGTATAAGGGTGTATTTTAAACATTTAAAATACTAGGGGTTCTAATCTAATTTAATATTTTTGAAAATTAATACTCTTTAATTTAAAATTTTAAATATTAAAAACCGTGATTTAACAATTATCCAAAATTAAACAATTAATTCAAATTAACAAATCTGATGAGGATTATCCATTAAATTAAATAAATTAATTTATCCTAATCCCTAATCCCCTAGATTTCGAAAGTTTGTGAAGGGATATATCAAAATCTTCAATTATCCATTTAAACAATTAAAAAATAATTACAAAAGATAATACCTACCCAAAACCCTAGATTTCCAAAATCTAATCATGGAGAGAAGTAATTTTTGAAAATTCTAGGGTTAGCTAACCCTAAAAATTGAAAATATGGAGGCCAAAGGAAAGTGTTTAAAAAACACTAAGCAATTTTCGAAACTAGGGTTATGAAACCCTAATTTTATCGAAAAATCCAAGCCCTAGAGTTTAATTGCCATAAACCCTAATTTTGTCAAGTTCAAACTATTGTATCAAATCTAATTGAAAACAAAAGTCATACGTTCTAATACCACAAATGGGTTTTCTACATAGCAACCAATCATATGTGTGCATGCAACCGTAATTTGTGGATCTATGTTTTCACTATTAAACATACAAGCATTGAACATAAAACTGGAAACCCTAGCATGCATCTAATAATTTTGAAATCCATAAAAGAAAGATTAGATCACATACCTTTATTGTTATGTAGTGATAACAATAAAAAAAACCTTAAATATCCTTTGCTTTAAGAACAAGTACCACAAGTGTAATACCTTTAATGACTCACAAACACCCTAGGGAAAGAGGATGAATATGAGAGAGAGGAGATACTTGCTTAGAATTTTGGCTCTTCTAGGGTTCTTTGGAGGTGCAAAAAATTATGAGGGGTATGGGGTTCTATTTATAATAGAGGCAATTAGGGTTTTGAGGTGGAAAAACCTAATTCCTTAGCTTAGCGCCTAAGCATCCCATGAACTCCCATCCATGAGGCTTGGACGAAATCCTCTAGAATCTTCTAGGGATTTTCGGCCTACCCAAGTAAGGATGATCCAATAGCCCAAAATCTCAACTATCAAATAATTGCAAAACAACTACTGTACTTTTAATCAGTTCCTTTAATCTCAAAATTAATTCCAAATTAATTTCAGATTAAATACTAATTAATAATATGATTTGTAGTTAATATATTATTCTCATAACATATTAATAAATCATTTTATACACCAATTTATTATTCCAAATAATAAATTCAGCCTCTCTCCAATAGTCATTGTGTCTAATTGCTAGTGTGAAGGCAACCCAAAATGACCATGCTACTATCAAATGAGATACACATCAGTTATAGTTATGTGTTTAGACACCTAATTCAACAATATATATATATATATATATATATATATATATATATATATATATATATATATATATATATATATATATATATATATATCGAGGAATATTCGACTTAAATTTTCCCCCCAAATATCAATCGTCAAACCGAAAAAAATTCAATTATGCATTCAAAGTACATCTAGATAATAATGTAAGAGACAAGCGTTAAATGTTATAGGGTATTCCTTGTGACATTTGTAATTACGGGCGTGTTTGGCACGGAGCTTTTGGAAGCGTTTGGGAGCTTCTAGCTTTTAGCTTTTGATAAAACGCTATAGTTTAAACAAAAAATTTCGTTTGGCAGTACGAGCGTTTAGCTTTTAGTTTTAACAAAACGCTCCGATTCTAAAAGCTACTTCATGTAGCGTTTAACAAAACGCTCCTGAGCTTTTGAAATCAATTTTCATAATTACCCTTAAAAATATATTTATATATTTATTTATTTTTAATCAATTGTCATTTTATGTAATTTTATATATTTCAAAAGCTTTCATCTACTTTTGCCAAACATTCATATAACAAATAAAAGTTACAGCCTCCTGCTACCAGCTACCAGCTACACGCTACCCGCTACCTGCTACCACCTAACCGCTACCCGCTTCCAGCTAACAGCTACTTTTGCCAAACACGTCCTACATTTCTACCTGTAAAATTGCTAAACAAGTATAAAATGCTATAAGCAGTTAGTTTGAAGGTTTAGAAAATTTTATGGACAACAAAGTACTACTTCCTTATATGATACTGAAACTTTTTCATCCTTTCAAATGAAACATTACACATCCTTAACATTACAGAACGTGTATAATCGGTACATACTTAGTGCTAACACGTTACTTGAAACAATAATATAAAAACAGTTCACATGAGTTAAATAATAAGAAATTTAACCATTTTAGTGAGATTTAGATTACTATTAAGATCATTATTCAATAAAGCAAACAATTTTAAAAAATTATTCGTCATGACTTATATGGCGAGATCCAGACACATTAGGAAATGGTGATGAAAAATGTACGTAAATTATGTGGACCAGTTGCTTTAGTTTCATCAAATACTAGTCATTATTTATGAAATTCAGTTTCACATCATTTAGTTACATGTTTTTGGAACAACCGATTTATTAAAAACTAGCAAGTCACTAGTAAAAAGATTACATAAAGGATCATACATTCAAACTTTGGAGCATCATCCTTTTTCATGTATTTTGGCGACTTTCATTTTTTTTTGCAAGTGGTGTCTTATGGACACACCAGTCTTATAGAGCTTCATGGATGCGAAAATCGACTTTGACTTACCAATTTACAAAGAATATTTTAGCAAAAATATAACGGTAAGGTAATACATGAAAAAACAAAAAATTGTTAAGCGTTGTCAAGGATTGCGTTGAAATAAGCGTCATCAAAACAAATTTGTTTGTTATTGCGTGTTTGTTTCCAAAAATACAATAACTTTAAGCTTTTTTTAAAATGCCATAATAGGCTTGAAGTTTACCTTGAAGCATAAAAAAAACACTAGTAGATGAGATGAGTGAATTTATAATTTGTTTCTTATATGTCTAAGTGGTTGTAAAGATTAAATATTATTTGCATCATTTTTACTACAAAAGTGTTCGAAAAAACTAGTTGGAAGCTACTAACTGCTAACTGGAAATTGTAGTTTTTATTTGTATATGAATGTTTGGGAAAATAGTTAGAAACTTTTAAAATATATAAAATTACATAAAATGACTTATCCAAAGCATTTCATCGATTTTTTTTTTAAAAAAAAATAATTAAATCAATTTGCAAAAGTATAAAATAGTTTTTGGATAAACCCTATGCTTTTGTATTTTCAACTTTTTATTTTAGCTAAAAGTTAGAAGCTATTAATATCAAATGAAACTTTTTTTTAAAGTTTTTTCTTAAAAGCTAAAAGTTGCATACCGAACACACATATTGCTATTGCACTTGAAAATGATAATATATTGATAGACCTAATGATTTGAAACCTCACATAATTTATATTTACAAAATTTTGACTTCTCATTGTATCTTGATAATTTGAACTTTGTATCTCAAACTCTTATCAAAACCGAAAGAAAGAACTAGCTAGACAACTCACTTATGAATCCATCAAAAATCAAATAAAATTGAAGATGGAGTAATATGAGTTTTTATTAAAAACATCCATTGTATCGAATGTATGTCTTGTGAAAATAAATCTATAATTTGTTGTTGCCGTAGTCATCATCGTCTTCTTTCTTATCAAAATAAATAAATAAATAAAAAGGTGCAAGGGCAAACTTGTTTTTGAAGTAACTTTTATATTCCATAATCTTGGTCACATTATACATACCAAATCTAGCCAATTCGCCTCAAAATAAAAATAAAATAAATAAATAAATAAATAAAATAGACACTCATAAATCGAGTGTAGACAAGACATGACTATAAATAATGATATGCATAAATACAGAAAGAGACAAAATAAAATGACAAGTTTAGTGGATTTACGATGGCTTCTCATGAATTGTCAGCCAACCTAAATTTATGGTTTCACCATATTCATCGAATCGGGTCGGGTCAGGGGTATGTTGTCGGCGATCTTAATTCATATTTGATTGCATCCGTAACTTCCATGTGAAAACGCACATCGATAATTTTGACTTTTGTACACCCACTCATGAATGCGAGATCCCAAATCTTCAACCGAACACAAAATTCCCTCACACTGTAGATTCTCATCAAGCTGTTAAAAAAACCATGATACTCTCCATTAGATCTCACATATGAGATAACTACTCACTACTCAGCCATTTCTCGTATCCATAGAAGCATAGCGATCTATAGAGGGAGAGAAAGAGAGATGACAAGGAGATCTGGATCATGTTTAAGGTGTTGTCTGGTGATTTTCGCAGTAGCATCTGCACTCTGTGTATCTGGTCCAGCTCTTTATTCGAGGCTTATAAAGGGTTTTAATTTGAAAGGAGGTTCTTCGATTTCTTGCGCCCCATGCGTCTGTGATTGCCCTGCTCCTCTCTCCCTTCTCAATCTTGCTCCTGGTAATTAAACCATCGATTGTGCTACTTTTATTATCTGATTATCATTGTTTTACTAGTGATTAGAGTCTATTATGATTTAGGACCTTTAATTTCTACATGAATTAGCGAATATCCGATTCATCATTTGTGTAGTTGTTCATGTAATTAGGTAATTAGGATAACACTCGTCTCCGTTTTCCTACCACTTAATCCCAGATTTCCCTCTTTTGATCTATTTCTCATCATTTTTTGTTCAATTAGACTGTTTTCGATCTGCGGTTTCTATATTTTTGGAGTTCTAGTGGAATCAAAGTATATCCAGTTCATATCCAGAGGAAGATCTCTGTTTTCAATGCTGTAGATTCTTTGTTTCTTGTTGAATGGAGTAAAAACTTCGAGGACTATGGAATCCATTATTCCGTAATCAATATGATTCATATCTTCCTGCCATTGTAGAAAGCTAGAATTTTGTGAAATACCAAACATTCACTGAACTTTGATTATTATCCGTACAGAGAAATAATATTCAAACTTGATTTCAACTACTGATTCTTATTTCTTGTCATATATTTCAGGGTTGGCTAATCTTTCAGTTACAGGTAACTGTTTATCCTTCAATTTTCTGCATTAAGTTAAAAAGACAACCGCATACCATATATAGCTTATCAGATTAAATCCATTAAGTAAAAAAGAAACAACACTTAGCACATCAACAATGATGATGCATAAAGATAATTGTATTTAAAGGTGTTTATCATGAAATGAAAATGGTTTTCAATTGTTTTCGGGTTCTAAATATCATGGATCATATGAGTCTCTACTCATCATTCAACAACACATCGTGTAGTTCACTTAAACTTTCATACACAATAGTTCTTGATGATAGTCTATATGTTTAAAATGCAAGAAGTAGCAACATACGTTCGTTTCATGTCATGTTATGTCAAATAGGGTCTCAATAAACAATATATATGACGATTTTGTCACCATAAATTCAGATTGTGGGAAAGATGATCCAGATTTGAAGGAAGAAATGGAGAAACAATTTGTGGATTTACTATCAGAAGAGCTAAAACTTCAAGAAATAGTTAGTGAAGAACACATGAGGCATATGAACATAACATTTGGTGAAGCAAGAAGAGTGGCAGCCCAATACCAAAAAGAAGCAGAAAAATGCAACACGGCTACTGAAACATGCGAACAAGCAAGAGAGCAAGCCGAGGCAAAAATGAGACAAGAAAAGAAGATAACTTCTTTATGGGAGAGAAGAGCAAGGCAACTTGGTTGGGAAGGGGAATAACTTCATTGCGGATGTTTTGAGGATTTTTTTTTTTTTTTTTTTTTAATTGAATGTGGTTTTTGGATCTATAAAAATATGTTGTACTTTGTGAATCTTTATAGCTACTTATAGTAATTTTGTTGCAAGGGTGATCAATTTGCCCTTGAGTAATCATATAAATTGAATGATTCTTATTTGGTTGTCTTGATCTCAAATCTTATCTATATCTTTGTTATAAAAGTGAATTTTGAATCGTATGCGATTGAAATTTCCAAAACTATTCAACTTGTTATCACGATTCTAAGATTTTTAATTAATGATCATATTGGTTACTCTTAATTGTTTTTTTAGTTTTTAATGTTTTACCTCCTATAACTCTACATTGCTTTTAACTAATTTGTGATTAATTAAATTGGTTATGTTGAATATGATGTTAATTTTAGTGGTAGTGTATGTTAGTTTCGTGTAACATTTCATATTTATCTATGTCTATATCTATATATATTATGTTATAAATGAAATGAAATGTAATTTGATTTTTAATGGATAAAGCTTCCTTCATATTATTTTTAATTTATTGCCAACTTTTTAACTTTCAACCTTAATATACTTTAAATATCCTCTTAAATACAAACATTATCATTTTAATGCTACATTTTAGGACTATCAGTCTAATTTGCTTAATTTTTTTTTTTTTAATTTGAATATGATACTAAATGCAAAACTTAAATCAAAATATAAAATAAACTTATGAAAATGTCCAAAGCCTTTTTCAGAAAAAATAATTTAATAAGTTAAATTGGTGTTAAATGCAAATTTGAAATTGAAATGTAAAATTGACTAAACAATATCTATTAACTATTTTTTATAATAACCAAAAATATCTAAACAAATTATTTTTTTAAATTCATTAAAAATGATAATAGTTAAAAATAACATAAAATCCTAAATTATGTTATGTTACCTTGAAAACAATGGTTAATATTTAAAATAATAATCATCGTCAAAATTAATAAATTACTAATAGTCATTTTCAAATGAATTAATGATAAACATAGTTAAAATAAAAATAATTATAAAATTTTATTTACATACAATCCATGGGTAGAAGCCATCAAATAATATGATTATGACATATATTTTTCATATGATTCAAAGTAAATACAAGTATCAATATGGTGTTAAGCGTAACTCTAAGATCGAAATATCAATTTGACTAAGAAATATCCAAAAACCATTTTTTTTACAATAATTGAAAATCTTCAAAGAATATTTTTTTTAAATTCATTAAAAATAACATGAAATCATAAATTACATTATATCTTTAAATGATTAACATTTAGAATAATAATCATGGCCTGAATTAATAAATTACTAACTACGTCACTATAAAATGAATTAATCATAATTAAAGTTAAAAATAAAAATAATTCTGAAATTAAATTTAATTCTATTTACATGCAACCCATAGGCAGAATCAATCAAGATAATGCAATTATGACACATGTCCATCTTATCATATGATTCAAAATGATTATAAGTTTAAATAAATTAACAACAACAACAACAATAACAATAAACTTTGAGAATCCCATTATAATGGCGGTAGGGAAGGTAGCAATTGATAATCAGGTATGTATATGAGGAAGTGGAACTATGTCACTTTGATGACCCTTGGAATATTCACAATGAAAAGTTATAGAATGAGGGAAAATGTAAGTCGTTAACAGTAAGACATACGCATGCGTTCTTCGTAAAGAAGCATATGTATTTTTAAACCTGCAAAAAGGGCAAAAAACCATGGGTGGGTGGAAGAGAGTTGTAAAACAATAGATGCATAATCCAATTACTAACATAAGGCAATGAATCATTATCAACACTAAAGATAAAAACAAATACATACATGGTTATGAGGCTATTCATCAACCCTAATGTTTCGCCTCAACATCATCTTATTTGATGCAATGTCCTCGTTAAGAGCATGCTCTTCCATGTCAAGCCACATACTATCATCCCACTTCCTTTTAGGTGTCTTATATTTCTCTTACCATAAATCATTATTTACTATACCTTTCTTACCGTTTTTAATTAAAGCCTCCTTATGGCAGTCCATACCATCTCAAACATCTTTCTCTCATTTTTTTTTTTTTGATTCATGCCATTCCTAATGAGTTTCTTGTATTCGTGTCCAATATCATATCCAATAAATTTCGAACACATGTCCACCTCAACATCCTCATTTCTGCCACCACATCTTCTTCTAGTGTTCCTTTAACGACCAACATTCAGATACCAACTGTGACATCCCCAAAATCATAGCCAGAAAAGACCGATTTTGTTTATGCTTTGTTTAAAAATCAGAGTAGCATTTTAAATAAAAGTGTTGCGGAATTTGTCCCAAAACAAAATATGATAAAGATTTATCAAAAGCATTTCCATAGAAATGTATTTCATTAAAAGACTTAGGATGGCATGTTCGTACAGATCAAAAGCATAAACAGTACAATATAAGCCTTACTATATTATTTCATATCTATAGGCCTATATCCGTAATCCCTCGTCCAAACATCATATCTATGCTCAAGCGCCACTACCTGTAATACATAAAACTGAGTGGGTCAGGCTTGGGAGCCTGGTGAGCACATAGGGTTTTCAACCCACAATAAATAAGTTTATTAATTCCATCAATCAATAATAACCCGATTACCCGTTCTCGTTATCCTCACATTACGTCCCTAAACACCTATCATAAGGGACCTATCCTAAGGATCATCATCGGGATGGACACTACTGCTAAGGGGGTTCCTCAGCAATAAATGTCCTAAAGACAACCATGTGGGGGATGGAGTACACCGGTGAACACATCGTTCACAACACCTACAGGTTGCGAGCCTGCCAGCGTTCCACTGGACTGTCTAGAAGAGTCTGTGGTCGTCATCTATACTCTGCTAGATGACTGGAACAACAACAACAACAACATTGAGGTCTCTCATCATTTTATCACACATCGTCTTATTACATCTACCTATGTTTTACCCCAACATTTTTGTAGATATAAAATACATATACAGTTTAAATCATTTAAACCTTGTATAAAAACATTCATCCAACATAGATAACAAGTATACAGATAATATGCACATATAGCACGTAATATATAAAATACTTCATATCTATGTGTAAGATGAAAGTAACTATGCACTCACCTGAAAAGGTGGTGATTCCGAAATCAGACAGCGCTTCGCTTCTTAAAATAATTTCCTTCGACGAAACCTAGTATTATTACCACTAGATATTAGTCTATTATTCGCTGAGACTAATTAATAGTCTAGCTATTATTACTATTATATAAGCGTTAAAAAAAATACTTATATAACCCATAAAAATAGCCCAAGTATTTATTATAAGTTCCTAATAATGTTACTATAATTAAATAAAAGCTATATTAAAAATAGCGTAGACGTAGCTCACTTACAATGAGTTTTATAGAAAACCAGGATTTGCTTGGAGCAGCATTCCCGAGTCGAAAAGCTCTTCTTCTCGGATCCGTCGAGCATCCGGGGCTTCCGCTTCGTGCTAGGGAGGTTCCCTAGGCTTTTCGGGGGATTTCGGGGCTAGAGAGAGGTTCTAGAGAGAGAGAGAGAGAGTAAAGAGAAGAAAGAATAAGAAAGGTGTGAAGAAAATGAGGGTGGGAGATGTGGTATTTATAGGGTGAAATGTGGCTGAACTTGGTGCCACATGTCACCATCTGGTGGCAAGCCTTGGGGAGAAAGCAATGGCCAAGATTGTGCCACATCACCCATTTTCGCACATCACACTTCCGACTTCTAAAATCCGTAACTTTCACATACGACCTCCGTTTTTGATGTTCTTTATATCCACGCGTAGGTAATAATAAGATCTACAACTTTCATTTTGACTCCGTCGGCTAATTCTCGACCGATCTTAAATTTAACAGTACAAGGAGATTATATTGTTAAACGTCCGCGTAAAATTCATACCTTCTACATACGGACTCTGTTTTCGTCTGTCTTTTTACCGTTGATTTCCTATTAATGAGATCTTAAACTCTCATTTAGGTTGCGTAAGCCAAAAACCGCACGAACTAAAATTCGAGTTTCGGGCCGTGCACTGCTAAGCCGAATTTTAGAAAAATCATAACTTCCTCGTACGAAATCAGATTTGGGCGTTCTTTTTATGGAAGTTCTCGGTTTAACATATACTAAAACTTTGGTTTAGATTACTAAGGCTAAAAATCCCTTCATTGTAAATTCACTATTTACATCTCCCGGTGTCGTGTCGGTTTTGCCGTAAAACTTCGGCGAACCATAACTTCTTCGTTATAACTCGGATTTTGGCATTCTCTATATCCCCGGAATCCTTGTTTCGACCACTACAACTTTATATAAAGATATAGGGCTTATCACATACTTTAATTTTTACACTTATTTTTATTCTTTATTAATTATACATTTATAATTAAATAATAAGCACATAAATACACATAATTCACATAATACTCAAATATTTCATCTTTATTACTTCAAAAAGAGTTACAAGAGTTGACCTAGACTATTACATTGACAAATATGCTTAGCCCTGAAACCCGGGCGTTACACATACATCATAGCAGGTTTAATAACTCTGTAAAATTTCACTTTCAAAATCAACAAGACCTTCCTATCACACAAGACTCATGGAGGTTGCCTTCTACTTTAACCCACCATCCTTAATGTGATATGAGATATATAGGATGTCTAATGACTCTCTATAAAACTTCCCTCTCAAAATCAACAAGACCTTCCTATCACAAAAGACTCGTGAAGATTGCGTTCCACTTTAACCAACCATCCTTAATGTGATATGAGACATCTTTCTTGATACTCCCTATTTTATGTATGAAAGACCCTAAATACTTGAAGATTTCCTTTGGGGAAAGAGGCAGCCCCCATAAACTTATGTTTGCTCCTTTTTCATTCACTTCAACACTAAAAGTGCACCAAAGATACTATATCTTAATAATGTTGATTCACGGTCCTTTATCCTCTAATGTCACCCTCCAGGTATCTAGTTAGGC